AAGGAATTGTTGGTAAATGTGTTAAATCAGTTAGAACCATTTGATGCTAGACGAATACTTTTGAAAATGCCAGAAATACAGGTGGTCCTTGTTTAATGATCACTAATTCAGTGACCAAACTTAGGATGGTGCTGAAGGAGTGGTAGTTACAACTGGATCTCATACTGACAGCTGTCACAGCATCCCGTGGTCACGTGATTGTGCTTTGTGACCTTTCCTGCTGGCTTCCCACAAGCAAAGTCAGTGGGGAAGCCAGCAGGAAGTCACAAATCACAGTCACATGAGGTCCTTGCTTAACAACCCGGGTGGTCTTCATTTAACAATGGCGACTGGGACTGCAGAACTGCCATCACTAAGCAGCACAGTCATGTGGTTTTTTTGAATTATGACTGCATCACTTAATGATGGAGTTTCCGGTCCCAATTAACAGCATTAAACAAGGACTACCTGTAAACCCATCACAGTGAGCTTGGTAGTGCTGTAGATGTGAATCAGAGGTATTAACCAAGGAAGAACATGCTCCTATTTGGCTTAATGCAGCCCAGTGTAGTCTTGAAAGGTACGAACATCCAGACAGCTTACATGGAGCCTAAAACAGCTTTCAAAGAACTACTAACCCTTAGGGACAATCCAAAAGAGAGAAGCTGGAATTATGGACAAGCTTCTGGCTGGGCTTACATGTTGGAATTAATTTGTCATTTTTAACTATGGCTTGATGAATAAGCCACGGTGTCCTAACTCACACAATACACTGATCTATCAAGCATGATTTACAAGCCATTGTGACTGGGTTCATACATCAGCTAAGCCAAAAGTAAACTACTTTATGGTTAATAGGATATGTAAAGCCAAACTGGGTCTGTTAAAAGTTGCAGTGGGCTGCTGAAGTATTTCATGATTCAGTGTCCGAAGACAGCTTGTTATAGCAAGATTTTTTGGGTTGTTATTTTCCTGTATATGCTTTGCATTTGTAACCCTTTATCTATGGTTATCTGTACTCCTGTATCTGTTGGAATTGTTATTTTATTGCTTGGATGACCTATGTGATTACTTGACTGAAGCACAATGGATTAAAATTCTGTTGTATTGAATGATCTTCTTCCCTTTTTTTCCCCTCCAGATGATCTTGTTCATACTCTTCTTTTTTTCTAGTAGCCAGTTTTCCATGCCCCTTAGCAGAAGCCCTCCTAAATTTCCTGGAGGCTGCCCTTGATCTCCTCCAAAAATATCTGAGTGAGAACAGGACATACTGCTATTGTTTTGACGTGTTTCAGAGCACCACATGTGAAGACATGTACTTGTGAAAACCAGAGGGTTGAGTTTATATATCAATCAAAGCTATGGTTTAGCCATGGTTTATTAACTAAACCACAATTGGAAATTTGCCTATATTGTTAAGCCATAACCACACCCCCAACCTGGTGAATCTCTTTTACAATTTTGGGAGTGAACAGGTCCACTGTTGTGGTAGTTGCCCAGTTAGAGCAGTGCTTCTCAACCTTGGCAACTTTAAGATGTGTGGACTTTAACTCCCAGAATTCCCCAGCCAGCCATGCTGGCTGAGGAATTCTGGAAGTTGAAGTCCACGCATCTTATAGTTGTTAAGGTTGGGAAACACTGAGTTAGAGAATAAATGTCTTATGGTTCTGCAAGTTTCTCTTGAAGTCTGTGGTAATGAAAGTTTGTTTGGTAGTCCATGGTCCTCTTAACAACTGCCTCCAAATCCATTTTTCTAAGGCATGTATCCAGGTAATAGTTTATTAGAATCCTACCTGCCACCCCCTGCAAGTGCACTGTTGCAGGATTCTCTCAACTATCCCTGCCCTTTGCCTTTGTCGCTGAGCCCACTTCCAAATACAATCCTGGACTGTACCCACACCCGTTTTTATTTTCTAAGCAGGTACACCAAGCCCGCTTAGGAAGAGCATGTTGGAAAGTGGCCCTTTTGAAATGTAAAACCTCAAGCCATGCGGGGAGCCCGGCCGAGAGGAGGGGAGATGTTCTCAGGGAAATCAGTGCCTGCCTGTGGCCACATGGAAATCATAGCGATTAACCCTGCTTCACAAACTACCATGCTCCGTTCACAAAGACACTGTAAGCCCAAACTATACAAGCTTCGTTGTGTGAACTGGGCCTGAAATTAATGTTTTTGAGGTGTGAGAAGAGAAACGGGAAATGGTGCCTGCCAACAATCTGAGAATGCTGGTAGTAACTGCACTGCACAACCTAGTACCCCAAAATCACAAAGTCTTCCCAACCTTAGCATAAGATGAATGGCTGCAGCGCTGACACTCATTGTATTGCCTAGCTCTTCCAGGACTTTTTACAATGCCTCTCAACCATCTTCTGGGAGATCACCCTCCATCATTCCTAGGAGAGGAGACCACCTACCAATAGCACAAGATATGAACTGACTGAATGAAAGGACCTCAGTTTCCATGGCATTAACCGTTTTTGTAAAAAAAAGATACCTATTTGGCGTACCAGTGTAACAGTGCAAGGAGGGCCCTCAATTTCACTGCTGAAAATACTGCGGTTTTTGCCATTTCTCTAAACAGATTTGAATTCTGTCCTTTCAGAAGAAAGAGTTCTAAAGAAACGGAGTAGTGAAAAGGCCTATTTCTCTCTAGGACAGGAAGGGCGGACTTTCCGTTTGCTCCTGGCAAATCCAGTACCCAAAAGAAATCTTTTCTCTTGTGCTAACAATGGTCAGGGTGAAGAGAGATCCAAAAATGGCTGGTTCACCCCTTCCTTTTCTCTCAGTGGACTCCCAGAAATCAGAATTGATCCATGGAGAAGAATACTATATCTGCTAGCGCCAGTTCAAGCATTCATGCCATTTATATTAGAAGGTATGAATGTTTGAAATATAAAGGATATGTTGGAGGGACTTCAGCAGACATGTCAAAAATTTATTTTTCGGAGAAGGTTTTGGGTTTCTAGGCCTCCAGCAATTATAGCCTGTCATGATTGAGACATATGGACGCTAATGGGTATGCTCTCAACTTGGGGTTTTGTCCTGGAAAAAATGATAATCCATGCACAGAAGAAATAAAGTTGAGATTCTGGTCATGAACAATTATTTAGCTTTGGTTTTCAGTATCATCTAATTTTTCCTAGGAGTCCCATTAAGATGCTTTCCCCTGAAAACTCGTGAGTCTGGCTGGACTGATGGATTGATCTTAAGAACAAAGAATTCAGGTATTATGAGGAGACAAATCTGTATAGCATTAAACATGATAGATTAATAGCTATACAGATTAATGGCTCTTTCAAGATGCTTCCATGTTCAGTTCAAGATGGTGATGCTAATCTATTCTGGGAAGATGAATCAACAATTACACTCAATTGCTTGCAGCCATTTGTCAAAAAGACTGTGGTCCGGTGAGTTTTCTCGGAAAACAAATATATCATTTACAGAAAAATAAGTGTTGGGACTTTGCCACCCAGAATTCCAAGTCAGCATTTGGGGAATTGCAGTCCTAGTACATCTATATATAGCTGCAAGACATATTTGGAATATGTTGGGCAGATTTAAATGCGATCCAACTCTCATAAGATGTTGGTATTATGGGTAACACACTTCTTTAGGAGTGTTGCCAACCATTTTTCTGTAATTCACAGACAAAAAAAAGCATTAATACTTTAGACCACTGTTTTACTAATCAGTTTTTCAAAACATCTGATGTCTTGCAAAAACATTTGACTGCTCAGTGGCAGTACATACAATTAAAGTATCTCTCGACTGTATAATTTCAGCCTGGTGCATTAGCTACATCTGAAGTGAAGTTATCTGAAATACAATGATTAATATTAGAAAAAAGTTTCAAGGGTCCTAAATCTACTTCATTTTCATTCACTATTTGAAAGTTCTGTTAAGCTAGAAATGGGCTGCAAGTTACTTGGAAAACTAAGTTAGAGCATTGTTTTAACAAATCAATGTTAGGGTAAAGAATGTTTAATTAGTATTACAATATATGACCTTTGGATGAGATTAATTCAACAATATTCTTTTCTGAGTGTACTGGATCCCTCCAAGCATGTATAATTAGGGTTGGGGTTCACCTTCTGTATGTTGGAAGTGCAGTACATTGAGTCTCTGACCCAGATTTTAGGCCTGCTAGGCTGACATGGTTTTGGTTTAATGTTCAGAGTGGTAAATATGGTGCTCGGACAGGAAAAAGGCACCCAAGATGTGTACACATGAATTATACATAAGTATGAAGAACATTGGATCTACAGCGCATGGGCCACAGCTAAGAAGATGGTTCTATTTTGGTGGACCCAACTTAAAATCCTGGATAGAAGGCTTACTTTTTACATATGTACTGGCTTTCTACTGATACTGTGGGAAACTGATCAATGTAGTTATAAAGGGTGTACCAAAACTCATTCCCCATAGACAATTTATTATATAAATTACATTTAATGTTTGAATTGGACCTTTGAACATTCCTTAGTAACATTTTCTCTGAAAAAAAAAGTATTAATAAAACACTGTGATTGGCCTATGAGGCCTGACTTTTGGTACACTCCGTATATTTGTATTAATTTTTTTATTCCTTCCTCTTTTTTGCTTTTTTCCCCCCTTTCTTTTAGTTACATTCTGGTTTATTTTGTTTTTGGTGCTATTTATTATTATACCTGGTTATTGGTTTTTTTTTCTTTTATAGGACTAAAAATATTAAAAAGGTACATTCAGGATACGCATTTTGCACGCAGCACAGGGAAAAGGTCTGCACTTCCTGCTCTGACACTGCATATAGTTGTGTAAACTATAAAACCTTTTGTGTTCTGCCAAGGATGGGAGAGCTTGCCCTCATCCCTCCAGCTTTTTCACGCAGCAAAAACATGTGGGAAAGACTGATGAAATGTGTGCAATTTTCCACTCCCTACACAGGAAGGTCTCCCCCCACCCTTTTCAGCACCACAGCTGGGGGGGTGGACATTGTACCTGGCTATACTTAGCAAAATAAAAACAAAGAAGCCACTTGATAGGGCATAAACTTTACTTTAAATAAAATACACAGCATAAGCCGGTCAGACAAACCTCCACACACACACGCACACACACAAACAGGTACAGAGTTGCTGTATGGCTGCCTCAAACCAGCAAGTTCTCATCACAGCCAAAGTCCAGCAAATTTGAGTGGCAGAAACTGCTCCGCCCACCCCCCCCAAAAAGGCATGGAAAGACAGGGACCGCTGGGAACAGAAGGAAACTTCCAGTCCCCTCTTCTGCCACTTGCTAGTGCAAACGATTAGACTCCTAGAAGAACACAGGGCAGAAAGGGCTGCGCCAAGGGTATTAGGTAGGTGGGGCCTTTCTGGTGGAAGGAGCCTCCTGCCCCACATCTTCTCTCCTGGGAGTGCTGCACGGTACCATTGGGGCACCATCTTCTCCATCGGATTTTGCAATGAGGCAAGACGGCATGTCTCTATTTTAAAGAAGCTGGAAAGAGGTGGATGGCTGCCATTGTGTGTGTGTGTGCGTGTGTGTGTGCGTGTGCGCGTGTGACCTGTTGCTCAGGAGGGACAAATGACATGCCTTGTCAGTTATGTATGGTAGTGAGTCAGAGAAGCCCTGTGGGGCCCCAGAGTTCTTTTTTAAATAAGCCATATTGTCACATACAGCCTTGCGTGGCAACTCCATGAAAGCAGTGTAGGAAGTTCTCTCGAATGCAGTGAGAGGAGCAGGGGAGCATCTCTACATTAGCATCCCTACGGCCCACCTATATTCATCTCCCCCCCCCCCCCAAGAAATCATTGAAAAGAGCAATGCTGCTTCCCTCCCACACCTTTCTCAGCCCTAGACAGCCTTCCAGCAGCTGAGAAGAACTATGTCACCAGGGATCCAACAAGCCGGGATAAAAGTGGAAAATTGCAGAATTACTTCCAGCATGCAATGCTCCCAGGAAAGAGGGGCATGCTTGGGGAGATGGCAGCCTGATGGATCAGGCATGATGGGACCAGAACGCTAAAGTCTCCAAACAACTGGGACTTGGATGAGCCCCTGGTGCAGGGAGATCAAGAGGGCAGAAAATCTGGGATTGCACCTACACAGAGAGGGGAAAAATCAACACTGCAGATGGGTGAGGCCAAAATCACTATGGAATCCATGCCTCTGCTCATAACTTCTCCTGGTGCCTTAGAACCACCACCTCCCCATTCTTCTGAAGGCCAGGGCTTAAAGGGGCAGCGGAGAGAAGGGGAGGGTCAGAGGCTGATGCTGCGGTGGTGCTTAAAGGGGTGGGGCTGAGCCATACGCCGCTGCTCCCTCTCCTCCAGCTCATCGCTGTTGAGACTGGCAGCATCAGAGAGGCCCAGCAGGTGCTCAACGGAGTCAAACTTCTGCAGGTCTGAGGCGATGGTCTGGAAGCTGAGGACCGAGAGCGTGTCAGCCGAGGCAACGGGCTCCGGAGGTAGTACCATCCCGCCATACAGCAGCGCTGGGCTGGCTTCAGCACCGACTGGGGAAGCGCGACGTCCTACCAGGCGCTGGAGCCGCCGGGCATGGATCTGCTCGCTGATCTGCTCCAGGTTGCGCAGGGCCACGGAATAGCGCATCTTTGCCTGGGCGACCTGCTGCTCAAGGGAGGTGACCCTGCCCTTGTGCTCCTAAAATGCAAGGAATGCAAGGCAAGAAAATCTATGATGAGGGTTAACCCAGCACCCATCAATATGGTATTGCGGTACACTGAGGGCAAGACCTCGGCCTTAGGAATACTATTCTAGAATACAATGTAGGGGAATTGAGGAAGATTAGAGGCAGATATAGACATCCGTAGAAATACACCCTTCGGACACCATTAGTACTTAGTAAATAAGTAATTAAACTTTGGGGTTTAAGATTGCATTAGGTAGAAAAGATGAATGGGAGAGAGTCAAAATCGACATTAAAAAGTGGATGGGAGTTTGCAGCCCTCGGCCCAAAGGTTGTGCATCCAGGCTAAGCACCAACGGCCAGGAATGAGATCCACTATTCCAAAGCCAATTCCTGATTTCCACCTAAATTCCAAATTCTCTCCCATCCCATTTGGAAATCTGAGTCCCAAGGTTGGATGTCAAGTGGATCTGCGCCAACATGACAACAGAGCAACAGCCAATCGCTTTCATACCATGCCAAGGAAGCTACCTGGGCATCTCCATGTAGGCACCAAGAGTTGAATTTGACTTAGGAGGGTTTATTTTTTCCTCCAAGATAATCCAGAATTCTAGCTTGAGCTGGAAGAGTCATGACAGACAACATCCTTGAACCCAAATCTATGCTTAAGAGTTTCACAATTTCATGTTACAGGAAAGGAATATGTATCTCATCAGAGAAAGATGAAGCTACCTCTCCAGCTTAGTCTCAGGATAGATGGGAAACAAATACAGATATTTATATATGCAAAGATGCAAAGATAACAGCATCTGCTCCCCCCGCCTGTTTGGCATAGGCAAGGGACTTAGAGTAGGGTCAAAGGTCGGCCTCACCTCCAGGATTTGGTTGAACTGAGCCTTCAGCTCAAAGTAGGGCTTGCTCTTCAGAATAACTCGTTTCAAGGATTTCTGGAGTGACTGCACCTTTGCCTCGGCCTGCTGGCAGAGCTGGGTGACACGCTGGTGCTCCCGTTCGCTACGCAACCGCTCTTCCTCAGCCTCATTCACCTGAAGGGCACAGGAATCAGAGTTACCAAATCGATACTGCACCAGTCCTATTCTCCTCTTCTCTCCATCTTCATGGTGCCTGTGCCTTCAGACACTAGAGAAGCTACATCTATCGGGTGCTCCAGAACAACGATTCCCTGTCTGGAACCCGCCTGATAGTCCTGACTCTTCGAGAGCCCATCAGGTTGGGAAGGTTCAGCCCAATTCCACCCTAGGAGAAGAACTTCACCTTGGAGGTGGCATGGTTCAGCATCTCCTGCCAGGTGGGATCCAGCCTGTTCTTGTCTGCCATGACTCCCTGCTCAGCCACAAAAACCATTTCCCGGGCTGCGTTGTGCATGCTAACTGCTCGTTCGTACCGCAGGGCAGCCTTTTGGGTCTCCTGCTGGGCCTGCCAGAAAGCAGGAAAAATGGAATCAGCAATATCAATTAAACAACCACAATCCCTCTTAACATTGCCCGTGTACAACTGAGAAAAGGAACCAGTCTCTTTGGTTCCCTACTGTATCTCCTCTTTCCTCTTGAGGGAAATCCACCCATCCCGTTTTTCTCATTTCTGTTAGATTTGATCTAGACCTTGAATCTGAGAAAGCATCTGAGACCTTAAACACACAAGATTCCCGAGGCACTAATTGGGCTGTTCCATTTCAGACTGCAGGCAGGGGATGGCATATTAGTTGGCTCCCCTTTCTGCAGAAAAAACATTCCTAAATACTTAAAACTAGAGGATTGGGGGAAAAGGCCAGATTAGAAACCAGCCTCCCAACACTCCTATCATCTCACAATCTTTTAAAAGCTGAGTTGCTTCAGTACCTTCTGCATATCACGGTAGCAGATCCTTGGCTATTGGAAAGTGGAGCCAGCTTGTATTTTAACTGTGCTTTTCTAGAGTTCTCACAGAAATCAAAATTCAAAAGAAAGCACAAGAATGCACGTCTGCAGTGGGGCGGCTAATAGCCCAGATCCTGTCAAAAAAGTTCTCAACTGGTGGATGAGTTTGACAGGCTTCATATCTAATCGGTGATCCCGTTATTCCTTACACTCACATCAGCCTCTGATTTTACATAGACGATGGAAGAGAGCATGAGGTGATTGGAAAGACTTTAACAGTCTCTGGAAAAGCAGTAGCTCTCTCAACCAAGCACACATGAAAGCAGCTGTATTACCTTTTTAAATAATGCTGATCCGTTTTTTCCTACGTTTTATGGACCCTCTCTTAAAAATTAAATAAGCAGTTTTTCTTTGGTAAGCCACAGTGCAGATCCCCAGAGAATCAAGACACCCATTAAAAAACAAGATGTGATGGAATGGTTTGGTGAAGGCCGTGCTTGGGGAGATAAGCATTTCCTTAGCCCCCAG